CAGAATCCCCTCACTGATTACACTGTAAATGATAATCTACCTCAACCAAAATCAAAGTAGACTATCACTCACCCACACCAGATGGAAAACTCTACAGACTGTCGGTTCACACCCCATCACAAGCCAGCAAAACATCCAGGAAACAAAGAAAGGTCTATATATATATATATATATACTAATTTATTTTCTTCCACCTAATATTCTGATCACAGAAAATTGCCAACGTCCGTGCCATCGACATTTTGCAACAATCCACTGAATGTATGGTGGCGAGGCTTATTGGCCACTGTCATATCTTCTAAATCAGGCGGCCTAAAAGTTTCCACCCTTTTGAGATTTTGGGTCCCTTTTTGGGCCTCCTATCACAAGGTAGATGGCCCTATGCTTTTCAACGGTACACTTCCGGGACGCAATACTGAAGCAATACGGTAGCCACAACCTTAGGGCTGTGGTATTGCTTCCCGTTCATGTATCGTTCAAAAGCATAGGCCCAGCGTGGGCAGCGTGGGCACCCACCCGGTTGCGCCTGGTAGCTTATGCAAGCACTCATTTAGACCACCAGGTCACATGAGCCTAACGCTACCTTCCAGGGCTTGCTACAGGCTTCCCCCGAATACAGCATACGGTCATTATAGCCGAATTTAGACTGAAAGATGCGCCAAATTCAGCTATAATGACCATACGTTGTATTCGGGGGAAGACTGTAGCCTCCAACTGCGAGGTTTTCAAAGGTGACCTGCAGCTTTTGCTACCTGCGCAGGCCCGAATTGAAATCCTCCTACTTCATACACCGGTAGGAACACTACTTAGGATCCTGTGAAACTGGTGGTTCAAGGAGTCCCTCCTATGCTGACACGTTCCCCCATTTTTGTTTCTCAGAAGAAATAAACAAAAAAGAGAAAAAAAAGCCATGGAGAAGGTCTGATGTAAACGACAATGGTCCGTTCGATGTATTTCTCGCGTACGGCAATTTCAGGAGAGCTGTCCATGAGCGCCAGCATTCGTATCTCCCTCTACTGCCTACTCTGTTGACGCCGCAACTCCACATGATAGTCTGAGGTCAAGTCTGCGCTATGTATTGTGTGGCTCATGTGCTCTTGCCATCCATCTGTGCAGGGAAGGAAACGTATAGCCCATGAAAACCGACTCGCAAAGTTGTGTGCCTAAACTTTGAGATCGGAATGCAGCCTTTTCATCACAGATCGTCATTCTTCCCTTGTTGGTATGCTCATGGTTCTCAGGGATAGAGTTTTGTGTAGGTTATTGTTTACTGCAGGGGTGCAAGGAATGCAGACCTAAGTGTGTGTGTGTGTGTGTGTGAGAGAGAGAGAGAGAGAGAGAGAGAGAGAGAGAGAGAGAGAGAGAGAGAGAGAGGGAGAGAGAGAGAGAGAG